AGAATGAATGCGAACGCTTTGTCTACGGGTATTTATGCAATGTTAATGAGATGCCAATATTATATACCTATAATTACAGTTTGTGCAGCGGTAGGTACAGACAAATAATAATGAAATAATATGACAATGGTAGAGGTTAATTTTACTGATAAGAAAGTAGTTTTCGGTATAGACCGCATTGTAGGTATAATATTATATAGGAATTAAGTATAATATTATATAGGAGGCCCCATCGGTAATAGGACGTTAGTCGTTAGGTAGGTATATAATATGAGATATATATATATATATATATATGTGTGTGTGTATGTGTGTATTTATATATAGTAAACGTAAATTTTAATACACTTACTGACAGTAGTACTTATTACATACAAAATATAAAAATACATATTATACTATCGACTTTTAATAGAATGCTGTTCAGTCTTCAGCATAAATAAGTATATAACGTGCGTTGTTATTCGTATAATATTATTATCCCCAATGCTGTTATATTAACTAAACTATTGCACGTGACTCATAAATTTTTTTAAACATTAAATCATGCTTAACAATGCGTCAGTTATATTAGAAACATTTCGAAAGCCACTCTTGAATTGATCTACAGTTGAACAGTTCATTGGACATCAGAATTTTACCATACATAATATATACAATAAATAATTAGCAAAAAACGAGTTGTACCTAATGGCTAATGATGAAATCATTTTACGTCACCTCACGCGTTATAACGTTTCCTCTGTTATTCCAGGGTACATAGTATTATAATATGATATTATTATTTGTGTGTTGTACTGATGTGTTTGTATATCGTTAAACTTAAATAAAATATAGGTATAGGTAGGTTGATTAATGATTATAATACCGAGGACATTAACTTACTTATCAATGGTTTGCGCCACGTTGGTTAATAGAAGTTCAATGTACATAATATTGTACATACATCTTTGACTTTCTGATTTACTTATTTAATTATTTTTATAYAAATAGTCAAATCACTATTCTTCGGACCTTACTGAATTTACTGTAACGATAAAAACGTTGTGATTAATAATGTACTATGCACATTGTATATATTTTAGATTCTGAGCGGAGCGATGAATGTATTGATTTTACCAT